CCCTCGATTCCATTTATAACGAGCAGATGTGAAGAATAAAGAACAAATAATTACAAATTTATGTGTTTCAATAATATTTAAACCAAAAAAGTGACGCCACATCCATATCCGCTCGATGTTTTTTAATCTTGTAGCGCCGTGGCCGTTGACGATTGCCGGCGATTGCAGCCGTGTAATCGGACGTTTCCGCTCAAAGCATCGCACTGTGCCATGGCATGCGTACCCGTCACAAATTCGCGGCTAAATTGAGCGTATGATTATTTAATAAACTATTCAGAGAGTGCACGCTATTCTAGTGGACGAATGTGTTGCTGCTGTGGACGTTCTTCCGAAGTTGGTTGGTTTCGAAGCAGACGACTCTTGGCTAGCAGACGACAGTCGGTTCCTCCGGATATATGGCGTCTGGAGCGCGTCTTCGACTGGCGTGTTTAGCGTCCTGTGCTCCCCATATATCAAAAGTGATCCCGAAGTGGCAACAAATGACGTCACAGAAGTTTGAGTGTCAGACTGTTGCATGTCGCGATCCTGGCGGTTGGTCGCAGAAATGTTAACGAGAAGCTGCGAGTAGCACACCCGAACGCGAGTGTTGCTGTCGTCACCGCGACCCGATTTGTGGCACTTTTGACAAGCTATCCGTGGACTGCCACACTGGAAAGCGACCTGCAGCAGAAGAGGCGTCTGCTTCATACAGCACAGCTATTGGGACACCGCCAAGATCGGGACTGGCGACATCATGACACTTCTATGACATCGTCAGGCGGAAATCGAGGAGGCCAATTGCTTGGACACGGTAAACACACCAATCGGAAACGCGTTCCAGGCGGTCGTGCGTAAGTTACTTTGAAAAAGTAATTAGCTGCAGTTACAGATAGTTTGTCCAAAAAGTATTTAAGTTACGATTAGTTACCTAAATATAAAAGTAACGCGTTAGAATTACAGCTGCTTCGTCATGGTAACTTAGTTACATTCAAAATACTTTTTTTAACTTTAACTATGAAGACATTGATGACAATTCACAATATAATATAATAATAATATACTTTATTTTCTGGTAGTGTCCAAAAACGGCCACGAAGGCCTACTTATTGGTACACTATAAACAAAATCACGATCACATTAAAGATGCATTTCTCTGTTGAGGCACAAATAAATCAATACTAATTACAAAATTAACAAACGTTAATTTTGTGGTTAGTAGTAACAATGACTGAGATTAATATTTATTACCTTCCTCTTTCTCTTAAGAGCTCTATTATTCCCTTTTTTCAGCTGACAGGAGAAAAATACCGATGAACAGATGGGCCCATTACAATATTTATTTATTTATTTATTTACATACCCTCAAGGCCCTGGGGGTGTTTCAGAGGGGAGTGAGTGAAGAAAACAACAACAACAAACAGTAATAGAAGACATTATAAGTCACGGGTCACTTTCGCAAAAATAATTAGTAACAGCACTTTTAAACACATCTAACGAGGGTAATAATATTAAAGGGGCCCTCCGGAGCGTTCTGCGATGGTCCATTAACGGTGGTAACTCAATCTACAGGCCCTAAGGATCCTAAAAATCATAAAATAACCGTCATCCGTGGCGGATTTCCCTATTAAAATTGCTATCAAAGTCCCCGGCACGCCCCCCTTTCTGAGATGATCCGGAAAACGGGAGGGGCATCTCTTTACGCGTCGGCCAATAGCAAGCGAAGGATTCCGGCGTCACTGCGCGTCACCAACGCGGCCGACCACCGACACGCGGAGGAATCTCTCGAACACGCGCGGACCGTCGTCAAGGAGCCCGGACTTTGTGCTCTGCAGTCGTCGTTCGTCGCACCGCACCGTCGCGCTGCTACTGCAATACGCAGTCGCATCCCACAGATGACAAGGACAAGTTTGACTCGCTGACGTGGAAGGATCGCAAAGCTGGCTTCGGAGTCGGGATCCACGGGAAGAAGGAACACGTGTCCCGCAAACGCATGTCTGCAGACGCCCCGGGAAGCAGACGAGCCGACGCGCCGACGCATCACCCCCTAGCAACAAGCTTGCGGGGAGAAAACATAGTTCGCTGGTTTTGGAGCGATAATTGCGGACTATGTTTCCCGCACCATAATCAGTTTACGTTTTTCTCAAACTCTAATTTACAACAAGCTTAAAAAGTGTTGCAATAATAACGTTCGCATTCACCGCGAGATGCACCATTTCCATTGGTCAAGTTATAGCGATGGGCAGGGAATGGGGGATTGTCTTCCAAGAGAAAATAGTCCCGATATATTTCTTCTGCCATCTGCTTAATAAACGGTTTTGTAACCTAAAACTTTGTATACATATTAACTTGCACCTACTACGCAATACAGCAACATAAACAGACGATCGCAGAAAGCTCCGGAGGGCCCCTTTAATGACGCCGAAAGGTGGTTCCACTCTGGTGATATCCTAGGAATGAAAGAATCGTGATAGGCTGAGGTTCGAGAATGAGGAACGCCGACTTTGTACTGATGATCAGTGCGTGGAGAAACGTAAGGTGGGACGAGGAAGAGCTTCTCTTTAAGAATGGGGTTAGAGTCGTATATTTCATAGAAAAGACATAGACGAGAACACTTACGGCGCAAAGAAAGCAGTGGCAAGGGGAGAAGAGATTTCATGGATGATACACTAGCTGTCCGGTGATAATTATTAAGTATGAAACGAGCGCCGCGATTCTGAACTGACTCGAGATGAGAAGTGAGCGTCGTCTGACCAAGATCCCAGATTGAAGCTGCATACTCTAATTTTGAGCGAACCAAAGATTTGAATAATATTAGTTTGGGAGAAACTGGCGCTAGAGAAAAGTTACGTTTTAGGTAGCCTAACATAGAATTGGCAATAGCAATGATGTGGTTAATATGAATATGCCAGGAGAGGTTAGAAGTAATATGCACACCGAGTTATTTATATGAAGTCACACATTCTAAAGAGACGTTATCGAGATGATAGATAAAAGGCGAAGTGTTACGGCGAGACACTTTCATTGTTTTACATTTTTTAGTGTTAAGTGTCATGGACCACAGCTTGCACCAATCAAGAACAGCATTTAAGTCGTTTTGAAGAAGGAGAGAGTCAGAATCATTAGTAATCTTACGATAAATAGCGCAGTCATCCGCGAACAAACTAAGCGATGATGAGACACACAACGGCAAATCATTGATGTAAATGAGGAATAACAAAGGACCTAGAACGGAGCCTTGAGGGACTCCAGAAGTAACAGAAGACACCGAAGTATTAGAGTTATTTACATGAACAAACTGAGAACGATTAGTAAGAAAACAATCAATCCAAGCTAGTATCTGAGGGTCAAGATTAAGTTTGCTAAGCTTGAAGAGTAGTAGTTGGTGAGAAACTTTATCAAATGCTTTGCAGAAATAAAAAAAAAATACAGTCAACCTGGGGTCCATGATCAAGTAATGAAAATGAATCGTTAGTAAAGACAAGAAGTTGTGTTTCACAAAAAAGAAATTTACGAAAGCCATGCTGTGAGGACGAGAAAAAAGAGTTGGATTCGAGATATTTACAAGATGTGAATAAATAATATGCTCGAACATTTTACAAAGAGTACTGGCTATGGAAATGGGTCTATAATTGTCAGGGCAGTGTTTGTCACCTGATTTATAAAGTGGAGCCACCTTGCCAGTTTTCCAATCTTCAGGAAGAACACCAGTAAGAACAGATTGCTCAAAAATCTTAGTAAGAAAAACTGCACTGTAAATTTTAGTATTCTTTAGAAACTTAGTGTTAATATTATCAATACCACATGATGAAGACACTTTGAGGTTGTCAATCAGCTTAACAATCCAATCAAAATCAAACACAAGTGGGTCCATAGGAAAGAAATCATAATTAGGGTAAGTAACAATAGAACAGCTTACATCCCTAGAAAACGATTGTACAAACACCTCATTGAGGACTTTTGCAGAGTCATCGTTAGACATAAAAATGCCATCAGAGTCATAAAGCAAAATATCCTTGTCTTTCTTGCCATTAATAACGCTCCAAAACATGTTGACACCAGTTGATAACAGACGGGCAAGGTTAGGCTGAAGAAAGTTTGTTTAGCGTCCTTAATTGCATTTCTGCATACATTTTCAACGTTGTAATAAGCCGCCCAGCGCTCAACAGTATCTGCACGCTTAGCAGTGCGGAACAGGCGTTTCTTTTCATTTGAAAGTCTTTTCAAGGCATTATTAAACCTTGGGGACGTGGAGCTATTAGTAAGAAAGCGACGTGGGACGAAAGAATTGATAAGGGAATTGACTTCATTTTTGAACATTGTCCAATTAACCTCGACAGAGCGTTCAAAAAATTGGATAGGAAAACGTCAAGGCATTGCACCAACTCGCTGTTTATAGCCTCAAAATCAGCTTTGCCATAATCAAGAAAATAGTTATTCTTCGCTTTTGTAAAGGCAGATACAGGAGCGCTTAGGTGAAAGTGAAGTAAACAGTGATCCCTGATGGCAGGTAAATACGTAAGAGATGATGCAAGACCAGGCGCAATAGAAAGAATAAGGTCCAGCACGTTCTCAGAAGTTGCCATAACACGAGTCGGCCTAGTAACTATCTGCGTCAACGAAAAATCGGAGCAGAGACTGAAAAACTCGGAGCACGCAGCAGAATTTGAAGATATGGTAGGATATAGACCAGACCAGTCAATGCCGGGGAGATTAAAATCGCCCAAAAGAAGCAAAGGCAAAGCAGGAAACTTGTACGAATTGTATTCAGAGTATCGTGTAAATCTATAAAAAAGTTTGCTGCGGCATTGGGAGGACGGTAGCACGAGCACAAAATAACCTGCTTATGGTTAAAACGCAAGCGCACGCCAATAAACTCAAGAGATGTAACAATGTTGACAAGACATGACTCAATGCTATCATTTACCGCGATTATGACATCAACACCACGCCTAGATAGCCTATCGCATCGATAAAAAGAGAAACGTTTCTCGCAACAAAAAATTTCGCTGTCACGAACAACACTAGATAGCCAAGTTTCAGTGAGTACAACAATGTCGGCGAGTGAAGAATCGATGGCAGAAGACAAGTCATCACGATTGCGAAGAACACTTCGAATGTTGGTGAAAAGCACTGAAAGATAAGGACTAGAGTTGTTCCGTATCAGGTTATGTTATTGTGACGACGTTGACAAACCAACCACAGGGTCAGCATTTACAGGAATGGAATTTGTACTCGGCGGTGATATAATCGCGGACTTCACAAACGGCATCACTGGCCGCGCAGTAAGAAAGACATTTGTTGTCAAAAAACACTTTGTTGTAGCGTAGACTAAAAGACTGTGTATGAGCCTTAGCGAATTCGAGCAGGCTTTCTTCTAGCAAGACGAGTGGCAGGGGAAAAATCCTCTGCGACGGAAGTGGCACTACCGCGCAGTTTGCCTCTCGAGAAAAAAACATGGTCTTTCGTTTTCAATAATGAAAATTTCACTAAAACTGGCCGACATTTACTGGGGTTAAAAACACGACCGAGTCTATGTGCACGAATGATACCCTCAGGGGGAACGATGATTTTCATTTCGTTTGCAATGACGTCACGCACTTTGCTTTCAGATACAGCCCAGGTCTCAGAGTTTGAGTCGGGAACACCGTAAAATATTAGATTATCTCTTCGAGACCTGTCCTCAAATTCATCAAGACGTGACCGCAGGCTGGCGTTCTCGCGTGACAGGAAGGTTACAGTTTCTTTCACCTGTCAACTCACGCTCCAAAATGTCCAAACTGGCTATTTTTTCTTCCACAGTACTAAGCCTCCCTTGAATATCGGTCACCATTACTACAATTGACTCCTGCCCAGTCTTAATAGCTTGAATATCCTCCATGATTCGGGTCTGTCCAGCTTCAAAATTTGCCTGACGAGCGTTTGAGCCTCTCAGTAAAACAAGCATCTCACTAATCTCTTTTTTCTGAACTTCTTTCTTATCTGGGCCAGGATTAAGTTCAATATCACCAGACAGGAGAAGCTTCAGACCCGAAATACATTCGCAAGAACATAAAAACAGCACTTGTGGGCATGGGAACACCAGTAGACAGAGTTTGTTGGACTTTTTACAATTCAAAGAGGGAAACGGACCAACATGTACGAAGAAAAAGCAGAAAGCGTTAGCTGACTGCATGACTGGCTGTTCCATAAGCCCACTGAAGGGCCGAGGGGCGTGCCGGCAGTTTAAATCCGGTGACGATGTCAATGTTGATGCCGTTGGACTGCTGTACTGAGGCGACGCGACGACTGGAAGTGCAGCAGAAAACCAAGGTGTCCAGGAGGAGTCGATGTCTGGTTGTGGCAGCACGGAAACTTTCGGCAAGCGCGTTCCCTCCAAGGCACACCCCGGGCTTGTTAGGGCCGGAAAGCCGCGAAACATCGCCGTGAACTGTACGAAGAAAAAGCAGAAAGCGTTAGCTGACTGTATGACTGGCTGTTCCACATGCCCACTCCACATATTAGGGAGGGGAGCAAAAAGCTACACCGTTTGGAACTGAATAAAGTGGAAAAGGCCGTTAGTATCAAACAAGATAAAGAAAGGAGTGAACAAAAGCAACACAAGGTCGTCTCGGAAGGCGTCCAGCTTTTCTTTTTAATTTCTTCTGTGCAACGCAGAACAAAAGACTCGACCGTGGATCACGAGCTCACGGCCCCTGAGAAAAGGCAAAGCGACCAGTAGAAGCATCGTCTGTGTCCCCGGTCTCGTTTCCGCAAAGAACGACATCGCCGCGACTGCTGCGACACAGACGACGGAGGCTCTCGTTCGGCATTAAACAGTTCATGTTAAAGCTATGTATAGCCCGGCGTAGTGCAGCGCGCACAGGTACTGACTGGTCGCAGATATCGAGTTCTTGCTCGCCGGACAATGAAACGCGCGCGTTCTGCACTACTCTGCGTTCTCTGCGCTCAACGTCGGAGCAAAAACAAAACCTTTAGGTATCTAACTGTTGCACATTTCCGCAAGGTGGCTTTGTCGCTTGGCTGAAGAACCGGCAGTGTTCGATGAGGCCGGAAAGGGTGAAGACGGGCAGAGAGCCAGGCACACAAAAAAAAGTTGAAACGAAGCAAATTCTAAATGCACTTTTCCGCGCGATGAAACACGAAGAACAGAAGTAGAAAAACGTCTGTCCCCTGCGCCGGCACTTTGCTCCGACGAGAAACGTTTTGAGTTCTTTGTTTTATTTTGTCGCGTCTAATGTGCGGCCCAACCCCCACACATGGTCAAACCCGCTCGAGTGATTAAAAATAAGGTGTTTGTTTTTTTCGCGAAAAGTGCCTGTATCTTTGAAGATACTCTTTAGTTACTGTTTCAAAAAAGTGATTAAGTTATTGTTACAGTTAGATAAAAATGTATCGAGCTTCAGTTAAAAGGTACCAAAAAGTAACAAAATACAGTACCGCGATACTACGCAAGACTGGTTCCAGGCACCATACTCCGGGCCTCGCGCCACGCATTTGGCGTGGTAACACAAATGCTCCCGTGACGTCGGGCCACCTGCCTCGCTCAGACGCTCTTAATGGGTCGTGGGGCTCTAGCCTCCACAGTTCGCCAAGTTGTCGTGAAACGGAGTATACAAATATAACTTCCCCAAATAAACACACCGCGTAAAACAGGCTTTGCCGCGCGTTACCCGAACAGCGCATGAAACGAGCTGTGGAGCCGAAGGATACAAGATCTGCGCGGTCTGTCCTATCTGTGACGTCACAAATGATGATCATGATAGCTAGAGAAGCGCCCCCTGTAGTTAGTGTACGCCGCCAGTAAGACCGATACAGATAAGTCTCTTATAAGCATTGTTTTAAAATAGTTAATAAGCGAGAGAAAAACTCTGGCCACCTGAGTTTAGCCAATGTTCGCCGCCATTTCCGAAAATCTCCGATTACCGATTACAGGATGGAAGGGCACCATGAAAGAGTGTGTTAAAAAGTACTTGTGCTTTACTTTGAAAGTACATTGTATTTATAGTACCTTACTTTATGTACATTACGAGAGAAAGAGAGAAAAACTCTGGCCACCTGAGTTTAGCCAATGTTCGCCGCCATTTCCGAAAATCTCCGATTACCGATTACAGGATGGAAGGGCATCATGAAAGAGTGTGTTAAAAAGTACTTGTGCTTTACTTTGAAAGTACATTGTATTTAGAGTACCTTACTTTATGTACATTACGAGAGAAAGAGAGAAAAACTCTGGCCACCTGAGTTTAGCCAATGTTCGCCGCCATTTCCGAAAATCTCCGATTACCGATTACAGGATGAAAGGGCACCATGAAAGAGTGTGTTAAAAAGTACTTGTGCTTTACTTTGAAAGTACATTGTATTTATAGTACCTTACTTCATGCACATTACGCCCGGTGGATTTACTACTGTACTTTAAGTACATAACCTCCCATTTACTTTGTACTTCAAGTACTTCTTAGATGTACTTTAGTCTTTACCCAACGCTGGTGAAAAGACGGTAACACTCTTGTTCTTTTTGCGAACGCCAGCCATTTTGAGTTTGTGCGGAGAGACGCGTGGAAACTTTTGTACGAAATGTATTCAACGCTTTCGCCGAAGTTCCCAGAAAAGCGCCGTGTTTTAGTCAGCGAACTGCTCTCTCTAGTTTATTTTTCCTCAGCAGTTTTCCGAAACGTTGCGGGAGACCCTCACGCGTTGGTGTTGTCGACATGCAACTGCGTGCGTCCGAAACACGCGGCAGCATAGCGAGGGGTTTCCTCCGTAATTACACCGTACTGGAGACAATTAAAACCGAGTAAAGAAATGCATCAGGGTATTCCCTCTTTTCGTTTCTTCTCGAATCATGATGTGTTGTTTTCTGCTAAAAAAAAAAAAAAAAAAGCAGAAGCAGACAACTAATTTGAGTTGTATAAATTAAAAAAAACAACTAATTAGACATGTGGTTTTGCAAAGCGATCGAAATCAAGATGAGAAGGGAGGGGAAGCAACAGTGTAAAGTGTCCCTTCCTTTGTTCAATTAGTGTTTTGATTTCTTAAAAACAATAAGAAATACGTTATTTTTTTATTTTTTAAGTGGGTGGGTTGAACGACGCTGACGTCACAGCTGTGTCCGGCGCAGAGAGACAAAGAACACAACAATACATGTAATTTACTTGGAGGTGGACTTCGCTTCGCGACGCAAGGTCGGCTGTTAGGCCGGGGGGGGGGGGGGGGGGGGGGTGAGCACGTATGACACGTTCAAGACGTCACTTTTGGAAACAAAGGGTGGCGAGTGAAATTGGGGGGAAGAACAATGGAAGAAATAAAACCTAGTGGTAAGCGCCCCTAGGACGGATTAAAGAAGGATTCACAGTTGGAGACAGCGGCAGTTCCTGGGCATCTTCTCTACAGGAGTTTACCATCATGGCAGTGGTAAGAGATTTATTTGCTCGCACACGCCGGCGATCTTTGGCCGCCTGCGCTGTGTTCTCGGAGATACTATGCCGTCGCCGAAGTGCCGTAGTTCTTTTAGAGGGCTACTGGATATATGGGCCAAGTTGTTCAATGTTCGCTTTCGAAAAGTGATCGGGGAGGAGACTAGGTTTGGAAACATTGGTTTATGAAGAGTCTTAAGACGCACAAAACCACCGCGTCGGCAAGTGAGTGTCTTTGTTTAGAGTTACCAACATTTATAAAATAGTAGAATACTCCCATACGTTGTTTTGACTTTTTCAGTCGTTTATGAGGCACTTCTTCTCGGCTTCCCAGCTTACCAATCATCTGGATACCTTGCAGCCGTAGTAAAAAAACGATATTTTCTCTTTACCTTTTTTAGAATATGTTAGGCTCGTTGACACATGTCAGTGCTTATAAAAGTCACTCATATCGGCACGACAGGACGCCGTAAAGAAAATAAGGTAAATAATCTAAAAAGGCAAAGATTAATAAAAATTAGATTCTATTATATTAAAATTAAGAACTACTTGGGTGCTCTTGTTGTGCGAAAGGCAAAAAAAATATGACACAGTAAATTTACAAAAACACAAAAACACATTTTGAAAGCTAGAAAGAAAAACCTGTGGACAGCTTTACAATGGCCGGGGTCATTTCCTTAAAAGACGCACTTTATTCTATACTCGACCTATAAATAGTTAGACTTTATTCTGCAGAAAGTACCCCGGCACCGCAAATGTGATCACGACCTCAATGAATGGGCGACTCCTAAAGCCTGGTTTACACTGCTTATACGTTATACAAAAGACAGTCTGCAAACATGAGTCGCCACGATATCCCTGGTTGGAATCGAAGTGCGAAGTTTTTTCTTAAACTCCTTGCCATGCGGCATTCAAAGCACTGATCTCGTGGTGTCTTGGTGTCTTACGTTCGAATCTGTTTGGAGATTGTCTTTTGTAGCATGTACAAGCTGTATGACCCCGGCTTTAGGAAATAGATTGCATATTTCCTATTCCAACACTGAAACGGTGCGTTCCAAAAGGGAAACAGTCATGAGAATAGTGCATTTATGAAGTCCGTTGTAATTTTTACCCCAGCGACGGGTATCACGTCAAGATAGACACTGCGCGACATGTCTACTTCATTATTTTTTCTTTGAAACGGCGCTGGTAGGCCCCAAATGTGAGGCCTAGGGTTAGTGCCCAGAATTTCACGAGAAGAATTATCTATGGCAATCTTTTTTGTCAATAATGCAAAAATGTGATTGGCCAGAGTCTTCCCTAGGGTATTGACGGCTATTCACAGCTTTCCTATGCTAAATGTAAGTAGTTTTTTTTTTTCTTTTATTTTTAACTTTATATTTGTTCTTAAAAATTCTAAATATCAATCAATATTTTTGTGCCCAGAGAAAAAAACCAGGATCCAATCAGGCGTTCAGTCGTTTGTCTCGAGCTACCTTCAGTCCAATCAAATTTATATATTTTCTCTTAACGGCGTCTCAAATAAATGAAGTTTGATAGAAGGCATTTTAATATCTATAGAATTACAATGGTACATTGGAACTGCCAATATTAACACTTTTTTTATAAGATTCTTTAAATACTATTTTGTGCTTTGGGGCCCGCTTTTAAACAGTTTCCGCTGTCGCAGGCGGTCGTCTACTTAGACTTTGATGAGCTACCCACTCGCTCTCAGATGACCACAAGAAGTTTGCTTTCCGTTCTGGAGGTTGCCGCCATAGCTTTCGCGTGACTTTTTTTTTAATTTTTTTTCGGATGTCTTTAGAAGTACGGTTGTGAATCGGCTTTGTTCTTTAAAGGGTACTCAGTGTACTATCGCGGTCTGTATGAGCTAAACAGTCCTTAGTGCGCCTCTGGCGTACCTGTCAGTCTTAGAAAGCCCGGAACCGAACTAGGAACGGAATGCGAAGTTACAGTTCCTTACTTCGGACTATTTGCAACATTGAAAGATAATAAAACTTGTGGGGACCACAGGCAGAGAAAAATACGGAATCGGCTGTTTCAAGCTCGTATTGTCAGCAGCAGGGGGTATAGCACCCAAATGTTTCATCGTACACACTTAAAAAAAAGAAAGTACACTGCGTCACTTTCCCACAAAGCACTATGAGAGAGCCGATTGCTGCAATGTACGAAGGAATCTTGGTGAATGACGAGAATAAAATAATATTTAAACTTAAAAAAATAGCAGTTTGTGCTGGGATACTGAACAGGACGTAATTCCGTGAAACGTTAAGCTCAATGCGACAGCGCAGGCTGTTTCTTTTTTTTTAAGTCTAAACATATTTTTAGCTTAGTCATTTTTTAAGTTACCTCTGTAGAGTGCAGCGATCGGATCTATAGAATGAATTGCGGGAAGTAGATGCACAATATTTGTTCTGAGAGTCACTGTTTAGACAATTTCTTTATGCTGAGGAAAAAAAAGGGGGGGGGGGAAAGAATTACCAAAATCCCGTAAAAAAATAACAAAAAAAATTTAAAGGAAAAAGAAAAACCCCAGCAGTTTTTAGTGTTTACGAATACTCAACTGTTAACGTTAGAATGATGCCAGAAGGAAGAAAGCGCTTCTTTGTCAATCAAGTCACAAAAGTTGGGCAACCAGAACGTGATACGTAACGCAAAGAGGTCACCTTCCCTCAGAAATATATAGAGAATAGGAAAAAAACGTCGTCAGGATCGTTCAAACGTGCATTTATGATACGGGATTTACTTCAACCTGGCCTTCAAATCTTCACCCGTAAATGTTGATTATCACCCAGAGTTTACCGGCTGTTCTGTCACGTGGGAGTAAATAGGTAATTTGAGGCAATTCAAGCCGAGCTGGCGATGCTCCTTGATCAGAGTTGACACGAAGGAAAATTTGAACATACACGAGGTCGAAACAAAAGGCCGTAGACGCGTTATTTCTTTTTCCTGATGCGAACAATGAAAGTGAGATCGCCATACACCGGAAAGATGGCAGCCTCTTTTGTGTTCAAATTGCAGTTTGCAACTCATTTGCCTCCATTACCGGAGGGCTTATGATCCCAAGCGCGCTTTCGGTCTTGCATTGTTTCAGGCGACAGAGTCAAGGAGAACGGAGGGTGATGAAGTGGTGGAGAACAATGAAGAAGACCAGAAGACACCTGTCGTGCCCTTCAAGAGGCAGATAGTGTGGCGCAACGTGTTTGTGTTCATCTACCTCCACGCCGCCTCCCTCTACGGCATATACCTCGCCATCTTCTACGCCAAGTGGGGGAGCATCCTCCTCGGTAAGCCTCGGCGGTGACTTCTATCATTCACGTATCAGTATAGTCAGTGGCGGGGGGGAGAACGACAGAGAGGACCTTAATATGTCCTCGCCTTCAGAGCGATGCTCCTTACCTTCTACACTGCTTCAACGTCTCGTGCATCATCGCAGTCCAAGCACGGTGGAAGGCCAATGGTGCTCGTGCTGGAGGACGGGCGTTCGGAAGACACGCCTCGCCGTTCTCCTCCAGTCTGGGATTATACTTCGTTTTATTTCCTACGTATTTTGTAGGACACTGTACTCTTCCGTAATTCCATCGCAGGCAACGCTGCAACCCAGTGCAGTCAATCAGACAGTGCAAAATGTAGATCGTCACGGCGCTTCTTTGTTTTTGAGCGTTTACTATCAACCGCCAAAAAACTCTCGCGCGTAGGGCCGGCCGCCCTTCGGGCTCAAAATGAAGCAGGGCATAGCAGCTGAATAAAGAGGTCGTATCCGTAGAGAGGGACAAATATGTCATTTTAATTCAAATTTCACATGATTGCGGAAATAGGCGCCTGGTTTGCTCGAGAAAACAAGGTGCCGTTCTTGCTTCATTGGTAAGTTTTACGGTCGATTTTTTACCAGCTTAAATTCTAAAGCTAGAACTCTTTTTTGATCTTCAATCACCAGTGCCGCCATTTGATAAGCGCAGCAGGAAACGTACGCATTCCGTCCTCTCCCGCTAGAGCTTCTGCTACCTGATGGCGACCGCTCGTAGACCAAATCGGGTTTTCGATTCTAACCTTCTACTTTTATTATCCGTAAGCAATAACGTTTAGACACCTTACTACTACATGCTGCCGGATTCTGAGCGATGCTTTCGGCAATGGGTAGTTGACGGTGTTTTTTTTAATGTGTGTGTTTTTGCGTTACAAAAAAAAATGTTAGGGGAAATAACAACAAATTCTTCTCGGGTGCTACCCTGAATTTTTAACTTCGAAGTGAATCATACACCAATGAACATCTGTGAATAGTCATGAAATTCTATTTTTATATTGTTTAACCACGAGTATTTTTTTCTTTGGCAGCGCTCGGCGGTCTTCCTATGTCCGGCCTGGGATCCTCCGCAGGAGCCCATAGGTTGTGGTGCCATAGGGCGTACAAGGCCAAGCTGCCACTGAGGATCTTCCTCATGCTTTGCAACTGTTTATCTCTTCAGGTGAGTCGAAGGGTACATATTTGTATGGGACGAGTAAATGCACACTAACAATCGAAGTAAGCTTTTTTCTGGTCAACAAAATTATCTTGTCAGCCTCGTTTTCTTTTTTAAATTATTGTAGAAACATGGAGCTCATGTGAGCCAGTGATTAGAGACATAGTTAAGATACATTTTTTATTTGATCATGTTTTACACGGGGCCTTTAAGATTATACTGTACCCGGTCTGGAGCTATACACGGTCATCAAGACTGTACTTGGATTGGACAATCGCTTTTTTCCGGACTGTTGTCCGCACACTATACATATCTAAAAATATATATATATATTTTTACGCCATGCAGACCATCTACGGAAGCGGCGTATACAATGATTTGTTTTTTCTAAATCGTTCAATATAATGAGACATAGAAGGTTTTTGTGAATCACAGAGCATAGCAGTGAGGCTTCATGTAGGATACAAGCTTCTTTTGTTAGCTAATAAAGCTCACATTTCTCAAAATATGCTTTGCATGAGAACAATATTTTATGCGCGGATAAGGTGCCAGGTGCACGCCATGCAAGGGGTGCGACCTATAGTCCTGCAAATACATAATTAAAGTGACATGCACCACGGGAAAAACGTTTCTTCTTTTTTAATATTTGCGATAAGTGAAAAAAATATTAAGTTTATAGTGCTCATTTTTTATAAATCTGGTGTTAACTTTGATATAGCTTGTGTGTGTGTGCGCGCACGTGTGTGTCTGTGTGTGTATTTGTGTTCTGAATGCAGTGCACGTGCGAAAAAAACGACATGTTCTTGCGCGCACGTGGGGCATGGCAGCACACTTAAAAGAGCCTAGTAAAATAAAAAAAACTCACCTTTTTTACACCACTAGGTGCAAGAAACAAAATAATGTGTACCAGAACTGTTTTATTTAAAAAGGAAATCCTCAAAACGCAATTTAATTGGGCTCACAAAATATTTTTAATGTTTTATCGAATATAAAGTTATGTACTCTAAATAAACCTTACTAACTGCATTCTAAATATCCTCAAGCTTATGCATGCCACATCGGATTGTAATAGGACAATATTAAGTACAAAACTTCCTGTGCGTAAACTGTTAAGATGCTTCAAAATTGCAAAAAACGGAAAACGCGTTCGAATATTAACGTAGATGTGTAACGGCACTACTTCGCGGCGCATTTTTTTATATTTTGTTTTGAGAAATTGAAGATACAAAAGATTGCGTTGGAGAGAAGATGGCCGGGCTTACTTCTCAAAAGAATTGTGATGGCAGGCAACGTCCGAATTTGAAAGACCACGTACACGAACATTGCTCATATAGGTGCCATTCTGGGTCACCGGGGGTCTTCAAATGCGAATTTGACTAATTTTGGTATCATATTTGGTTCTTATTTTTTTCATTCATTACATATTAATATTTAAGGATAATAAAACACTAAAACACTAAATCGGAATTGTAGCAAAAAATGGTTCCGTTTTTTGAGTTACCCTTCCCTTTGGGTAATGTTATTAAATATAGATCGAATTTCCCATTTTAAAATGACGATGCAAAAAAAAAAAAAAAACTGAAAACTTGCCGATAAAATGTTTGTTCCTTCGAGTTTATCTATAAACGAAACGACGATCATCAAGAAAGAAAGAATAGAAAAATACAAAAACACTTCACAATACCAGCAATGAAAGAGTGCTAGCTTACTATAAACCCCGATGACAGGCCCAATCCAGTCACCTTTCCATTCTAAAATAAGAGCTTATAGCGACCATCGGCTGACAGCAACGGATGCTTTTCTTGCCGTGCTTCTGGGTTACTACGTATAAGCCGATTCACTGAGTACCGTATTTTCCGGTCTATAATCCGCACCCGGTATATAGTTCGCAGAGGCAAATTTGGGGTCAAAAATAAAAGCTTTTGCTTAGATAATCCGCACCCGGTGCTGAGTCCGCACCCGGGGCTAAGTCGACACGAAAATGTTCTGATAGACGGCACACCTTGACAAATGTCCGCTTTCTTAGCTCACAAAGAATCCTATAAGATAGGTATATCATTAATAACATACTCTTCCATTCACAAAATTTGTCTCATTTCGTCATAATCAACGATATTTAAAAACGAAATTCCTGTATTGTCCGTACGCGTAGATAGTCCGCGCAGCCTAAATTTAAACTTTTAAACATGTATAGTCCGCGGACTATAGCCCGGAAAATAAGGAGTCCGATTGTGCTAGCCTGAGAGATGTCTGAGAGTTAGGCCTCAGACATCCTAAAAGTCGCAGCTTCGCCTGCGACTTTTAGGATGTCTGAGGCCTAACTCAATCATTTTCTTTTGAGTATGACCGAGTGCCTTGCAGCCTTATGCCACTCCTTATGTGACACATGACGTTGTCGCACGACGGGAAAACACACCGGCACCCTGGCGCCATCTATCGGTAGACTAGGAACTCTCCCAATCAGCGGATAACAAAACTTAAAACTTTCGCAGTGTTTGGAATATTAAATCTAAGCACTATCTACGACAAATAGACGCTCATAGCACTATCAAAATTTTACCTATAGCATAGGCTAAAAAAAAAAATAAGGCGTAAAAAAAAGGGGGAAATTATACGTAGATCGGAAGTGTTCCGTACCTACCGAATGCAGAGCGCAATTTCGTCTGGTTCTTTTGCACGAGTTGTGGTGACGTCAGAACGCCGAGCTCTGATTGGCTTTGATTGAAGGATTGTGGGTAAACCTCAAGGCAGCTTGCTTTCAGCTCTACCCACAATCCTTTAATCAGAGCCAATCAGACCTTGGTGTTGTTCTGACGTCACCGCAACTACTGCAAAAGAAGCAGACGAGCTCGCTCTCCGCATAAACGGCGCCAGCGTCCTCTCTCGACATAAACAGGTAAGAGCGATCGTAACATCGTCAGTCAAGCGTAAATATATGAACCGGCAGACATCACGAGAAATACAATTGGCGGTGTTTTGATGACAACCGATGTCATATTCGGCTTATTTCTCGCAAATATTGCTCGCGGTGATAAAAACAAATCTTCTTGTTTATTTTATTTGCGAAGATGGTGTATATTCGGTTATTCTTGAGTTCTTGAGATTTAGGAATATGTCACAAAATCTACAAGGTGATTCAACGAGAGGCCAGGATCTTTAAATCGACCGCAAAATTCGGTTTCTTAACCTATCCCGCTACGACTTTGTGCAGCGTTGCCCACGGATGGTGCATTCTTTTTTTGTGAAATTTGTAAAGAGCGAACTTACCTAAGGAAAAAGTAAAGAAAGAAAAAGGCTTAGCTCCTATGGAAACTCAGCGACGCCACCGGTCTTCAAACAACACGGCGCCGTTTCGCACAGGAGACAAGACATGGCGCTACGATAGCTGCCAACGAACGAGCATACGGCGCCGAGAGCCGGCGTCTTTAGCAGACGAGCTTTTCGACTCAAAAGCGGCGCGCGTTCCGCAGGCGGCGACAGTCGCGGAAACAAAAACAGGCGCGGTGACAACAAGGAACTGCAGTTCCTGTCTGCTAAAGACGCTGGTTCTCGGCGTCGTATGCTCGTTCGTTGGCGGCAGTTCGCCAACGAACGGCTCGTTCGTTGGCGGCTCGTTCGTTGGCGGCTCTTATCTCCCGTGCGAAACGGCGCCGCGCTGTTTGAAGACCGGTGGCTTCGCTGCGTTTCCATAGGAGCTAAGCCTTTTTCTTTCTTTACTTTTTCCTCAGGTAAGCTCGCTCTTTGCAAATTTTACAAAAAAAAAAAAAAGTACCATCTGTGGGCAACGCTGCACAAAGTCGTAGCACGATAGGTTAAGAAACCGAATTTTGTGGTCGATTTTAAAGAGCCTGGCCTCTCCTTCAATCACCCTGTAGTACCGGTATATACGCCACGTTCCTGAGAATTGGTAATTCAACGGAAGTATCCTTTAAGAAACGTCCAATTCGCAGTTAAAAAAAAATATTCTGAAAGACAGCCTTCGATGTTCAGACCATTATATTCGAAAACACGTAATCCTATGTATAAGCAACTCTAGTATTTTTTTTGTATCCTTTTTTTTGTAAGTTTTTTTTTAACAAACAATGATTACTTTTTTTTACTATTTCCTGGTGCATTCCTCCCAAGACTAGGCGCAGCAAGGTTTATGTTTTATGGGCATCGCTGCTTTTGTGCCATAAAACTCGTAAACAACAACGACGCCGCTTACAAACCCTTTTCTTCCATGATAGAGACGTGCGGTAAAACAAGTGATAGTCATAATATCCTCCTATGACGTCAAACCTGAGAAAGCACGAAATATAACAAAACTACACTATCAACGAAACGCGAAAAATAACTGCAAATGGTTGTTATTGCGACTATTTATTACAGCCTGACGTAACCAATGTGCGCACAGAGGTTGACTCGCTTTCCGCTATAGCGACTTGGAAGCTAATGCCGACATCGTCCAGGCTGTGTCCTAAGACCTGCATTTACGCCCAATGGCACGAGCGTGCAAATGGGCGTAAATGCATATTACAACGTATTATGCCACCAAAGTTCACAGAGCCTGCTGTTTGTTAATTCCAAATGATAAGCGCGTTGTCTTGTTTAACTGGAATGGAATGGAAAATTACAAAAAAAACACACACACACAAAAAACACCATACCACATATATTTCATTATGCAGCAACACAAAAAAAAAGTTCGCTCAAAGCCACGCCCTATTATCTGCTATTTACACTGTAAGAGTGGGATGGCCTGTCTTTAGAACTCCTGGTCTCAAGCACGCACTTTATGCCTTCAGCCATAGTCCTCCTCTATACTCACAAAGGCTGGCAGTTCGACGACGGAGCCATAGAGTGCACGGTGGCAGATTTGAAGTATCTTGTAGCACAGAGCATCAAAGAGCCATTTCTCGGGGACCCTGGATGTCAGCGCTCAGCTTTTGCAGCGGCGAAGACCCGAAACACATTTGTTCGCTCGGGACAAGTGTGTTTCGACGTCTCGCCGCAGCAGGGCGCCAGTCACGTGGCTCCCTTCTGATCCGTTGTCATCCGCTCCACCTTTTCCATTTCGGGCGGCCGCTTCTCGTGGCGATCTGCCAGGCTTTGTCAGTATAAAGGAGGCTATGCTTGAGTAGCGAGTCAGTTGCGCGAGCGCGCTCGAGGTAAACGAAACGCCGAAGCTCTTTTGAAAGTACAAAGCTCCCGCTGGGGGCGGGCAACCGAAGATCCTCTCCGCCGTTCTCACCTTGTCAGTTACTATAAGAAAAAAAAAAGATTAGAGGAAGAAATATAGATTAGATGTAAGTATGCAGTATGTCTTTGACCCGCATTTCTCAGGGTAAAAGCGCTAAAAACAAGGGACAAGTAAAAGAACCGAACAACACAGAGCTCTGTGTTGTTCGTTTCTTTTACTTGTCCATTGTTTTTAGCACTTTTACCCTCAGAAACATGGATCACCAACTAACCCAAGCAGATACCCTTCGCTTTTACCCGTCTTTTCTAAAATTATACTTCTGTGAGTGAACAATATTCCACTAAAGTTCTCTCCGAATAAAAGGTGAATGAAAGTACATTTTTATAGGCACTCGGATAAAACTCGTTACAGCTTGAAGATGTGTGTCATTCAACAGAACTCTGCCTATTATGACCTATGTTGGAAGGCAGGAAAATAATGCTGAATCGCGGAACACTCAGAAAAGAAACTACGCGTGTCTAACGACAAATAAAGTGACCTGCCTAACACGTATCCGGAGGCAACTGTGATGCCAACCAAAGTAATGACTATGACCCTGATGAGTGCCGACCTTTTTTTATTCCTTTTTTTTTCTTCTCTGCGTTGGTATCGTGCGTTCTTTTTCTACTACTTGCGGTGCCTGCCCACGGCCGGGCTGTGACAGGCTGGACAATAGCCCTAAAACATACAACGCCCAGGCCGCGCATTAATTGGGCTTGTCCTAACGGAGTACGTTTCAGCGCGAAAATGATAGTTATGATGCCCACGTGGCGAGTTCGTTAGTGTCTGTTTTGTGGACGAGCATGCGACGCGCGATGCGGTACCCCAACGCCAGAAACAACAAGAAACATGATCCCTCCCTTCTCTAGAACCTTGCTACACAGGAGTTGCGAAACGGAGTAGATGTACACGTGCGCGTGTCCCCCGGCTCGAGTAATCGTCCTTTGACGAAGCCGGTGTTCGTACGTAGTCTTTACTGCATTTAGTATCAGCCCACGCGGGAATATTTTCAGTCAATGGTTAGCTAATCCACTGATATTTTCCTACCAAGCTTCTTTGGTGACGGCGTGCTGCAATAGTGGTTGTCTCACTCGATTGCGTAGCCAGGTCGCTATTTTTAAAACCCCATTATGTGTTTTCTTTCCAACATAAAACGTTTTCATGCTTTATCTTTGAAGTTAGCATAGCTCAGTAGGTTCATGAACTTTTTGATAATTAGTAAACATTTTTTATTATTCCAACTAGAACATTACGTTACCAGAATTAGAAAAAAAAAATAATTTATTTTTGTTTGCAGTGCTCGAAAATGTAGTAATCATATTTAAACTCGAGTGCATAATAAAACCGGTGTTGAACGCGTACCAACATTACAATAGAGTCAGTGTTTTTACGTAGTAATTTGGGTGCTAAGCTATTTGATGCCTTTAACTTTATATAAATTGCATTACCTCAATAATAGTGCTTGTCTAGACATCGCTCGAACCTGGTGTTCACTAATGTTGGGTGTACACCAAAGTTGTTGTGCATGCTCGTGGGAAGTGAAAACCATTGAACCAAGTATCATCTTTTAAAATTTCCAATCAAGCTCAAACAGCTCTGGCAAAAAATACGTCGAAGTTCCACTAGCCAGAAGGTGTAGCGAATCGGTGTAGTCTTAAGAATCACAGGGAGTGGTGAGGGCACCTTATTATCGCTCATTAGTCCCTGTAGCCGATAAAAACAACGAAGAAGAATCAGGAAGCGAGAAACATAAACATATCAAGTCACAATCCGCGTTTTTGAAGTTGGCAGTGACTATGCAAAAAAAAAATAGTTTTTGAGATGGTTTAGTGGAAAGCCGTACCATATCAGCAGCTTTGAAATCATGACCAACGCCATAATGTTTTCACATAAAGTGAAAAATTTTATTTCTCCGGTAACTGGTACAAATTGTCCCAGAAGCATAGAAAACTAAAGACTACTATAGAAGAAAGAAAGCAAAAACACGTTGCCACTGATTTCCGAGTTGACACCGCAACACGGCAAAGTTTACGTCATTTCCATAGAATGGCAATATTAGGTCGGCGAATCAGCTCGCGATTTTGACTACAAGCGTCGCGTTTTCATCTCGTTGTGTCAGGAGTGGCGCGCACTGATTGGCCTATAATAGAAAGTTTTACAAGCTAACAAGAAAATCCCTTTTTGAAAGGTCCTTCGACGCCCCAAGACCTCTTTCAGCTTGTGAAGAACGGTTTCGCCTCAAGCACTATCGCCCCCTGGCGCACTAGAAAGGCAACTGGGCGATGAAGAAATTTTTCGCATCAAAAAAAAAAAAAAGCTTAAAAGAACCCCTTATAGGTCTTTCACGCAGAACCTTCCTAGGGGGCGTTCAAAAAATATTTTTGGGGCGCAAAAAATGAACACGTCAGAGAACCCCACGATCTCTTTTGCAACAAGATATTTCATTTTTTAGAGTGGGAGCTCCAACACTTCAGGTGCCGCAGGCAGCTTGGGTCTTCATACTGCGTTTGCGCAGAACTTCGGCGCTTGCGCTGTCCGACACCCCGAGCTGCTTTGGTGATCAAAAACGTTGGGTGCTCTTATTCTAAAACTCTCTATAGTCATTCAATAAAAATGAAAATCTTTTTTTTTTTTTTGCCGTGTGGATAGAACAGAAGCTTGTCTTGTAATGTTGGTAGTTGTTCTGACATTGCAGAACGACTTGTACGTGTGGACCAGGGACCACAGGCTTCACCACAAGTACTCGGACACGGACGCTGACCCACACAATATCAACCGTGGCTTCTTTTTCGCGCACGTCGGTTGGTTGCTCTGCAAAAAGCATCCCGAGGTCATGCGCAAGGGAAAGACCATCGACTGCTCTGACGTGCTCCAGGACCCGGTGGTGGCCTTCCAAAGAAAGTGAGCCACAAATTAAGTTCGATAAGCAACCAGTTACAGCATCACTTCGCTGGTGGGCGCTGATGCGCGTAAAAAGGGTTGCGTGCCAGGTCAATCCTTTTTTTTCCTCCAAGGTTTCAAGGAAAATCAGCGGACAGTGCAGTTTGGCATTGAAATTAACGTTGATGGATGACTTTGAGTAGAGTTAGTAGGAAACAAAAGACACCCTAGGCTTTATTTACATTATCGCTGAGAAAGATCTGTTGCCGACAAATAACTTTCTGGAGACCGACCGAGGTCTGACTTCTCTTGCAGCAACATAATAATGAAGTGGTATGAATTAGGTTTCACGCAGTCCAATATTTCTTGTCAGAAATGGCAACCTGTCTACAACCCTGAGGATCATGCGTCGCATAGTTCTCTGCAGTCTACGAAAGTGAATAGTGATTTATATAGCTTGGCGAGGTGTAGGTTCAAAACGAGACCAAGGTAGTAAACCTCTGTATGACGTTTTGTTTTCTGTGAGGACGAATTAGACATTTATTTAGAAAATAAATCTCAAACGAATCACTGAGGTAGTCGAAAGTCGTATGATGAACTTAAAATAGAAAAAAAAAATCATCTTTTGGAAGCTTGTGGTAGTTGTTTCGCTAGGAGACAGCATCTTATTTTCATCTCTCAGCCCTAACAGAGCCATAAAGCCTAAACAGGGAGTTGTTTTACCGAAACGTTTGGCTAATACTTTGGAGATCATAGGAGACCCTCTATTTACCGGAAACCCCGCCTTGATCCCAATAAATGATGCCCTGCATACACTAGCTTGATTAGCATAGCATGTCTCAGGTACGCAGTTATTTTTGGTGAGTCGTTGATGCATCACAGGCACGGGCCATAATTGGTTAAAATTCTCTTGCCATCCAGATATTACGTTCCCATGGTGGCCCTGTGCTGCTTCGCCATACCCATCTACATGCCGATGGCGTTCTTCGGCGAATCCTTCTGGAACGCCATGTTCATCAACGGCATCCTGCGCTACGTGATCAGCCTGCACATGACGTGGCTGGTGAACAGCGCTGCGCACACCTGGGGCTATCGGCCCTACGATCGCCACATCAGGCCTACAGACAACCCGGCGCTGGCCATGGCAATGTTTGGAGAGGGCTTCCACAACTACCATCACACGTTCCCGTCGGACTACGCCACCAGCGAGTACGGCGACATCCTGAACCCCGCCACGACGTTCATCCACATGATGGCCCAAGATTGGCCAGGCGTACGACCTCAAGTCGCCGTCAAGGGACGCGTTAAAGAAGCGCGTTCTTAGGACCGGAGACCCGAGTCAATCCTATTTCAAGGCTTCAGCAATCGGGTTTAGCGAAAGGCTCAAGAGTGGTTAGCAGGGAAACAAAACAAAACAAAAATAACTGTAAATATATCTCACCATTATGTGCGCATGTAACACCAACTTCATATTTTACAATGGATCACCTTTGAAAGTATGACAGCTGCGAGGTGTCTTTATATAGTCACGGGTGCTATGTTGGTAAGCTGAAAATAACGCTTCATGTAAGGCATAACATTAAGTAGAACAGGAAAATCTAAACAC